CACTGTTGAAGCAATATACATGTATTAATTAATTCACTTAATTCCCACAAACCTTCAAGGTAGTTACTCTTACTGTCAGCATTTCACTGGTGTAAAACAGCTACCCGCAGCGAGATTCAGTAACTTGCTCAAGGTCACACAGCTGTGTTCTTGAAGTATCAAACTTTTTTTGCTATCAAAAAATGTTGATCACTGGTTGGCCAGAAAATCCTTTGGATGAAGGGCAATTTATAGTCCGTGGTACATCTAGTTACAGCACGTAGCATGTATGTGTCCGGAAAGGCAGCACTGCCTGCCTGCATCAGCCCTCAGCCATAGGAGAGCAAGTCCAGTGAGCGGTCACTGCAGGTTTGGGTATTTCTGTCTCCTTGACCAAACTGGAAGCTGACCACAGGCAGTGTGATGCTCTGTCATGTAAACTAGAAGCCTTTTCTTAAGCAGAGTTAGAAGAGGTCATGGGTTTTCACTTGGGAAATTAAACTACATAGAGAAATTAACTCAGATCCCAGCAGAAGTAGGTCCCAGCATGAAGAAATGTCCCATGAAACACTCACTCAGCTGGGCAGATACACCTCCGTTACTGAATACTTCCTCTGGAAGGTATTCATTATGTTTATTTTAGTAGGAGTAAGTGGTAATAGTAATAAGCTACCATGTAAAATTTCCTCAGAGAAACCTTCCCTGACCCCCTTCCCTTCCCAGGTCCATTCTCATTGGCTCTCTGCTCCTAGGGCACTGTGTGCCTCCTCTTCCCGAGTCTCATCGTAGCTTGTAATTGTCATTTATCTGTGCCATCAATGGCTGCCTTCTCCACTAGACAGTTACTCATGAGGGCAGAGACTGGGCCTGTGTGTTCACTACTCTGCCCCCTCCTTTAGCAATGTCCGCCTTACTAAGCAGCCAGTGAACCAGGAGGAGAGATGGCTGGATGACTGGATGGAGAGACCGATAATGCTGGCAGAGGGAGGCGCAGGAAGGCAAAACAAATGCTATGTATTGTGTTTTTAAATGCCTGTAGTGACCTAGCCCAACTTTTCAAATTGTGTTTATTGTGAGGAGGAAAAATAGCATTTTTATGTTGCATTATTATCATTAAGGAGAGGATTCAAAAAAAGACTGGGTCACTGGGGTGGGACTGCAGAGTGAGGAAAAGCAAACTCCTTTTGTCACTCCTTCTGAAACGAACTTTAAACAAAATTAAAAGGGAATTCTCAAATTTTTGTGACAGGAAAGGCACATAGCTTAGTAAAGCGTTATTCATGTTGCTTTTTGAAATGAATTCAAGGAATCATGATTTGTTTTAATTTCATTTTTGCTTTATAGCTAAATGTTTGATTTCAAGATAGGGTTTGAATTTCTCTTCTCTGCTTTTTAGACCTCAGACTCTAAACTTAACTGCTGTCAATGAAGCTGTTCTGATAGAAAATCTGGAAATATTCAGGAAGAATGGCTTTGATTTTGTTATTGATGAAAGTGGTAAGTTATTCCTTAGGAGTATAGAATTCTGTCCTTTCAGAGCTGGGAATGATCTTTGCGGTCACATAGATCAGTATATTTTATAAGAGATGAAGATGGTTCCCCCCAAAAAGCATTTTGCATCTGCCCTGTCTTTCAGATCTTCATTACAAGGGGCACTCAAACGAAACGTGTTTTCCAAATAATGGAATTTTCTCCAAATTGTATTCTTTTAGCTCCAGTCACTGAAAGGGCCAAATTGATTTCCTTACCGACGAGTAAAAACTGGACCTTTGGACCCCAGGACATAGATGAACTGATCTTTATGCTAAGTGACAGCCCCGGGGTTATGTGCCGGCCTTCCCGCGTCAGGCAGATGTTCGCCTCCAGAGCCTGTCGAAAGTCTGTAAGTAAAGGAAGCTCCTCAGCTGGGACCTGGAGGGTCAGCTGTGGTCCCCAGAAGTCGTCAGTCCCACTCCTGACCAGTCAGTGTTGTTACATGTGGCTGTGATTGGCATGGGTCATTGTGTGTGCAGAGCCTCATCACTGTCTGTCAGTATCTGCAGTCTGCTTACCTTTGACCTCTCACCCATAATTACTGCTTTCTCTACTTCCTCTTAGAGCTCTTTCATTGATCCCAGAGCAGGTAGCTAGTCATGCACATTGATTGTCTATGGACCTTATGGGTAATAACATTGGTAGATAAAGGTTTGCTGCTGCCTGCTCTGAGCGCCACCGCAGCAGGTCACACAGTCCTTTAGTCAGCAAGCACGTCACAGGGTGAAGCACTGTGAATTATTTCGCAGTTCAGATTGGTGCTGCAAAGTGGTAGCAATGGTTGGTCATTAGCCCAATGTCCATGCAGAGTAAGTGGGTCTGTATCACCTGACACATAGGAAGGGCCAGGACGTCGTTCCTTCATTTATTCAACAGATAGTCCTTGACCCCTGCTGCATGGCCTGTCCTCCTCCAGATCCTGGGGACACAGGTGCAAGCAGGTGAGGACTGGTATATAGAAGAAAGCTGACAGGTTCAGGCTTGTCGTCTCTCACCACCTGTTTCTAAGGGCCTCAGTTTCTCTGTGTTTGCTGTGGCGTCTGCTCATCTCCACGTATAGGTCAGGTAGTGATCCGTGCTATGGAGGAAAAGCAGGGCGAGGGCTACAGAGGAAGAGACAAGGAGGCAGGGCACTGAGCAGAAGCCTGAAGGGAGGGGCTGCTGAGACAAGCAAATGTTGGAGGAGAGCCCCCCGGGTCGAGGGCCCAGCCAGTCCCGAGGCCCTGACGCAGGTGCTTGCTTTATGTACTTGTGCAAGACGAAAGGGGGTGCCAGTGTGGCCCGAGGGGGGGAAGGAAGGGATGCACGTGCAGGTGCGGGCACAGGGGCCAGCGAGGACCAAATCAGGTAATGCACTTGGGTTTTTATTCAGGTGAGAGGGGAGGGCCGTGAAGCGGAGCCACGTGACCTGACATCCCTTTATAAGGAATCACTGGCTGCTGAGTGCAGACCAGGTGTGTGTGGGAGCGGGCCAAGCAGGGAAGCCAGCGTTGCAGTTTTCGAGGTGGGAAGTCGGGGCGGCTAGAATGGAGAGAGGGCTGGAGCTGACTGGTTGGATTCTGGACAGGTATGGTTGACGTCTCTAGAAAAGGTGTGCCGTTTCTAGAAAAGGTGTGCCGCTGTGAAGGAGCAAGGAGGGGCTGGATGTCACAGAAAGGTGGAGGGCTGAGATACTAGAAGGCGGGTTCTTTGGGGGAAGATGTTTCAGGGAAAGTTGTTTTTGAGTTGCAATCTCGTCCAGCCCTATCTTAGAGAAAAATACATCTGAAGGGTTACTGTTCTACTGTAAAACTTTAAACCGTTGTGTCTCATACTCAGGTGATGATTGGAACTGCTCTTAACACAAGTGAGATGAAGAAACTCATCACCCATATGGGTGAGATGAACCATCCCTGGAACTGTCCCCACGGGAGGCCGACCATGAGACACATTGCTAACCTGGATGTCATTTCTCAAAACTGACATTTCTCACTTGATACAACTATACATTTGATTGCAGATTTTTCTGTTTTGAGAGGGCAGGGTTTTAGCATTTTTTGTTTGTTTCAAAATTAACCTGCTGCTTAAAAAAAAAAATTCCCAGATTCGTTGAGAAATGGTCTTCAGCTGCAGGGAGCATTGCTTGCAGTGTTTTTGTTCTGCATTTGAGTGTGTGTGTCTGTGTTTGTGTCTGTGGTGTGAACGTGTGTACAGGCAAGGGCACATTTTGCAATAGAAGAGCACTTTGGAAGCTACTCGGGCTTCTGCTCGGCCCAGCGCATTTTACGCTGCAACGCTTAAGTCCTTAGTGATTATTAAATTTGTAGTGTTTCATTTCACAAATTAAAATATGGTCCTTTGGAGTAAGTGGTTCTCAACCCTGATACACATTAAATGTAAAGAAAAGGAATGATACAGAAAACCCAACAGGGATTCTCTGCTTGGCTGGAAGGAAATGACCAGGTGGGGCTGGGGTCACAACCTTTAAACGTTCCCCGGGGCAGCCAGGGTGGCAAAGCGCATTGCAGACAAGGGGAAATAAAAGGTTTGGATTTGTCCATAACGTTAATGCTGTGATGTGGTTTCCTTGGCATGTGAACTGCCAGATGTTCTAGTTACAGGCTCTGAGTGGTGCTGGAGGTAGAAGAATCCCTGTGTGTTTTGTCAGATAGTTTCTCATGGAATCTCGTCCCATTTGACCACTGCCAAAAATGCAAGTGAAAATGCCCTCTGTGGAGTCTGGCTCTGTGGAGAGAGGGCCTCCATTCACAAACTTGAAGTTTCTTAGCTGCAACATGACAGTAAATTAATTATTACCATGTATTGCATCAAGCACTGTGCTAGTGGCCTGTCTGCAGGGCCTCACCGAATTTTTGCAAGAACTCTGCAAACGGGTTTCTGGTAGGCAGATCCCCCAAAGATGGCTGTGTCCTAATCCCAGAACTCTTGCATATGTGACCTAAACAGCCAAAGGGGCTCTGCACATGTGACTAAAGGGAGGGCTGTGAAATGGGGAGAGGACCCTGGATTGGCTGGGAGGGCCCAATCTGTCCCGGGACTTCTTAAACCTGGGGAACCTCCTCCAGCTGCACCAGAAATGCAACGTTGCTGATTTCGAAGGTGGAGGAAAACAGGCCTCTAGAAGCTGGAAAAAGCAAGGGGATCGATTCTCCCCAGGAGCTGCCAGAAGGAACCGGCCCTGTTGGACTCCTAACTTACAGAACCATAAGGTGATAGCTTTATGTTGCTTAAACCACTAAATAAGTTTGGGGTAATTTGTTTACAGAGGCAATGGAAAACTGACTAATTATTCCTGTGTTATGGTGAAGATATCGGCTGAGAGAGGCCACGCGGCAAATAGCAGAGCTGGAGAAACCCAGGTCAGGTGCATCCAGCTCCAGGTTTCCACCTGACCTGAATCAAGGCTGAGAACCCCGTTGCACAGCTGTTTCTCTGATAAGTGTGGCGGCTCCGTTAAGAAAGGGGCGGGGCCCGCGGTTGCCTGGAGACCAACCGGCTCAGGACGCGCTGGGCCATTAACGCCTTAGTTGGATCTGGGGGAGCCCAGCAGGCGTTCGGAGCCAGGTAAGCACCCCGCGTGGGGTCCCAGCGCCCCAGGCCAGTGGTCCTGAGTGAGCTGTGATGGACGTGAGGACCAAGCAAGGCCCGCCCTTCCTCTGCCAAGCCGACCAGCCTCCTAGGACCTGAGCAGGTGCATGGTGGGCGAGCAGGGCCTTAGGAGCAGAAAGAGCGGGGAACCCCCAGGCTCAGCATGCGCACCCCTTTTGTGCTGCCTCAGGAGAGGATAAACAGTCATGAGAATACGGTGTCAAGCCAGGGAGGACAGAAAAAACAAAAACTAATAGGAAACATGCCATGAGAAACGAAGTTCGCCCTCCTTGTAGTTCGGGTTTCACTGATGCTGGCCCAGAAACGCCAGCGCCAGTCAGGGTTTAGGAGTGAGAGCAGCTTGCTCCCCGGCAGACAGTGGGTGGGCTGGGACTGACGGGGTTTGGAAGGAAGAGAGAAACAGGACCATGTTTGTGAGAGCAAAGCCTAGAGGAGGGGTTGAGCTGGCGGGTGGGGTGTCCAGAGGGTGTCATCCAGGCAGAGGAGGGCGTGCGGTGCCCTCTGCACCCTCTGGGCATGCGAAGAGGGCGCTTGCCTTGCACTCCAGGACTCATCTGTGTGTCTCACTTGATCGGCAGGAATGCTTCAGTGGGGCCAGCTTTAGAGGGCCGTGGAAGCTGAGGCTCTGGAGACCTGCCCCTCGGCTCTGACCTTGGACAAATGATTAGCACACAGTTTGTTGTCTGGCATAGAAGGCACTCGGGAGTGCTTGCCTAGGGAGTAGGCAGCCAGTGATTTCAAGTTCAAAACCAGGAAAGTGACATAAGATAATCGCTCCGTTATTATGTGCTGTATTCCACACATTAGAAATGTTTTGTGCATCAATTTATGTAATTCTTATAAGGAAACAAGGTGCCATTATTCCCATTTGCTATCTGAAGCAGACAGATATCAAGGAACTTGCTCAAGCACACAAATCAAGGGCAGTGAGGGGCCTGGGTCCAGCTCTGAGCACTGTGTGTGTCATGCTGACATATTAGGAGACAGGCTTTTAACGTAGGAATTGGTCAGCAGGTAAGATCTTAGGGGTTAAGTAGCCATTTTCCATGGGCTGGGTACCCTTCTTACCGGAACACTATTTGAAAAGAAACGGTAGATGGTGTTTCCAATTTAAAAAATTTTAGGAACAACCAATATAATATCGAGGCTGTCTTATTTTTCTAAGCTGGTGATACTTGTTAGTTGTCATTTTTTAGGCTATAGGAGAAAGAGAATGGCAGTGGGTTGGAAAGCTATCCTTGAACTACACGTGAAACCCTCAAGTATTGAGAGGCATAATTTCTATGTTTCAGATAAAACTCATCAGTGCCTTGAAACAGATTTCAAGCAACAGAATCCTCGGATGCATGTATAAAGTCTTGTAAAGGCCATGGTAAAAGAAAAGAAAAAAGACAAAAAAGGGGAGAAGTCTACCCGCTCTCCCACGTCCCTCTTGGATTATCCAGAGCTGCCCAAACAAGATGGCAATACTGCCAGACAAGAAGTGTCCTCAGGCACTATCCCACCATTGGAAATGATGCTCAATGAACTGGGCTCCAAAAGACAGTCCAGAGACGAGAAGCAGCAGGGCAAAGATGCCACTCAGTATGAAGAGCCCATACTGACCAAACTCATCGTTGAAAGGTGATCTCAACAGGCTGCATTGCCCATGTTCCCTTTTCTACCACCTTTATGCTCTGTTTTCTCTCTCTCTTCCCCACCCCCTTCTCTCTCTGTCTCCACAATTTTTTATTGTAGTTTCAGCTACCATCTTCCTAGATGGCTGTAAAAGAAAAAAAAATATGTCTTTAGCACTGTTCTCTGTCCTAGAGTTTTAGGTTCAAATGGTGAACCCTCCACTGGACATCACCCACTGGACTTGAAACGCTGTGTCCCAAAGCAAAGATCACAGGACTTGAAACAGGATGAACTGGATTTGAGTCTTAGCCCTATGACATCAACGCTATCACTGACCTTTTCCTAACTGGGGAAAATAAATAAGAATACACACCTTAGAACATTCTGCTAATGTTGCTCCTTCTCTCCCAGCCACTGGCTTCTCCGTTGGTCCCTCTTCCTGTAAGGCACCCCATTTGCTTGCATAGCGAGGCTTGAGATTGTAGAGCCCACCCCCCTCCTTCCCTGTGCACTTCCGTATTTCTTTCCTCTGTGTTTCTCATTGGTCATTTTCTCTAGGCGTAGACTCTTCATTTCCTCTTGACTGGGCTATAACATTACTTAGAATTTTTAAAGAAATGATTTTTTTTATCGAATACCTGAATTTTTATCAAATACCTTTCTGGCATCTTGACATAAACATTTTTCTTCTTCTTTCGTTTACTGATGTAATGAATTATGTGTATAGATTTTCTAATGTTTAATCTTCCCTGGATTCTTGGAATAAGCTCAATGTGGTCCTGGCTGTCACAGCCTCATTTGTTTTCCCCTCGCTTACCTCAGAGCCTAGGAATGAGCTAGGTGACAAATCGCACATCATCCACTGGGCTCTGAACCTAAACCCTGGGCACTGTTCCTGGCTCCCCTGCCCTGAAAACCAGCACATCAGCAAGCCCCATTGGCTCTATGTCCAGAATATTATCTGCATTTAAAAAAATTATTGTAGTAAAATACACATAGCATAAAATGTTACTATTTTAACCATTTTAAGTGTACGTTTCAGGGGCTTTAAGTACACTTGCCATGTTGGACAACCATCACTACCACCCACTTCAGCACCGTTTCATCCTCCTGAAGGGAAGCTGCCCAGAATAGACCGTAACCCCTCATGTCTCTCCCCTTCCCCTGCTAATTCCTGGCAGTTAGCTCTCCACACAGCAGCCTTTGGAGAACTACATCTGACCATCTCATGATTCCTCCTAGAGCTTTGGGTTTTAGTGCCATCTTCATCACAGCCCACCACGCCCAGCCTGCCTCGCCTCTGCCTCCTCCCTCTTCCTCCTGACCCCTCTCCAGCTGTGCAGCTCTCCTCTGTGTTTGCTCAGGCTCTTTCCTGCCTCAGGGCCTTTGCACTTGCTGTTCCCTTTTCCTGAGATCCTCCTCCCAGGGTTCTTCTCATGGATTTTTGTTTCAAGTCCTTCAGGTCTCAGTACAGCTCCCGTGTCCTCAGTGAGGCCTCCCCATGGCCGTCTTATACAGCAGCGTCCTCCCCGATCACTTCTTTCACAAAAACTGGACACCATCTGAAATGAGCTTGTTTGCATCCTGTTTCCCATCTGTCTCTCCTCAGTGAACTGTAAGCTCCTGGGACAGGAACTTTCCAGCCTCGTTCACAGCGCTAGCCCCAGTACTAGAAGGGGGCAGTCAGGGTAGCCCTCGGAGAGCGTTGCGTGAGCGCGTGTGAGAGGAACTTCTTCACTCATGTCAGTTATGTATTTTAACCTGCTGTCCCTTAGGCTCACTCACACCATTCATTACCTTGAACTTTATTTCCCTGCAGCTATGAAGGGGAAAAAGTCCATGGACTGTATGAGGGAGAGGGCTTTGCAGTTTTCCAAGGAGGTTGTACTTACCACGTGAGTTACTCGTTTGGGGAATGGGCGGGGAGGAAGGAGTGGGGTGATAGTTTTAGATTTGCGTCTTCAGACAGGTCCATTGATTCTTCAAAAGAAATTGGAAGTCCTTAATGCTGATTTTGTGTTGACCCCTGATGACATATTTTAAAGTAGAAACATGGCTTGGCTCAACTGAAGTCATCATTTTAGATTTTTTTCTTTTCCCGATTTTTATTCATCGTACAAACAGCACTAAGGTCAGTAGAGTGAATAATGAAGAGTAAAATCCCAGGGAGACTGAGGACTGAGACCGGGGGTGGCATGGAGTTTTACATGCTGTCTTATGAGATCGACCACTGGTCCTAAGGGTTTGTTGTTCTGTTTTGAAGGGTATGTTTTCAGAAGGACTCATGCATGGACAAGGGACTTATATTTGGGCTGATGGATTGAAATATGAGGTAAAGCATATCATATGTTATAGTTATAAGCTGTAATTATGAAACTTAAAGGTCAGGGTCCCATGACTAAACATCCTACTTTATGAAAGTAATTAAGTGCATAGGTTTAAAAACCCCACGGAACCAAAGAATATAGGTGAAAAGTAGCCTGTTACTGCCCAGAACTCTCTGCTGCTGTTCCCAGTGTCATTTGTATGTTCTAGAGGATTCTATGTGTTCTGTGCATGCACAGCACACGTACATGTCCTTGGCCTTTCCTTCATCTTGATGAACAATTTACTATCCGCTCGCTTCTGTATCTTCATTTTGTAGAGATCAAACCCTATCCATGCACCCAGACCTACTTATTTTTACTGGCTGCTTATATTCCATTGTGTGGGTCTCACTTGACCCATGTGGCTGGGTTGAGGGGAATATGTATTTTTAAATTGATTGCTAGGACCAAACTGCCCTCCAAGAGAGAGCACTGTTTTCAACTCCCACCCGCAGTGTGAGGGAGGGCCTGGACTGCTGTTGCAGAAATCACAATTGCAGAGCTGCTGACTGTGATGGTGTCAATGAGTGGTGATGAAGCTACTTAAAACAAATGCCAGGTGAGGGAAACAGAGGCAAGTTCGGACCACGTGGGCAGCTAACTGGAGCCGGACAGGGAAGGCAAGGGAAGGGTCTACCTTCACTGTCACGGAGGGAGAGAGCGTCCAAGGCCCAGGGGACCCTGAGGATTGGGTCCCAGCAGTAGTTTGGGGCCAGACTTTCTAAACTCCCTTCCCCCGCAGCCCTGCCTTCCAGCCTGCGGCCTCTGGGTCATTGTCTCTGGAAGCCCTCAGGCAGGGGTCATTCTTGCACAGACCCCTCACCCGCAGCCCGGTTAGGAGGGTTCATGGGCAGGATTCGGGCTCTCACAGAAGCGTCTTCAGGGAGGTGAGCCGGCCTCCTGCGCTCTGGCTGATGGTCAGGCCTGGCCGCGCTGTCCTCTTTTCTTTGCTGACTGGCTGCCTCCAGTGAGTTCACTGGTAGAAGAGAACCTGATTCTCTGGGTGGCAGTGAGAGGTCTGTGTGCTGCCCGCTCATCCCAGGCTCGGACAGGATTCTCTGGAAGGCGCCCTCCGGGACAGGCGGTTGACGGGACATGTCTGCGGGATATTTTGATGAGCCACAGGCAGAAAGATAGTTTCTCCCAATGATCACTAAACCTGGATAATCATTAGAAACCCCTGGGGGGACCCAGGAACCCGCTGAATCAGCCTCCTTGGAGGTGGGTTCCAAGAATCTTAAGTCCCCAAGGCCAGGAGGGCAAACACTGCTGTCCCGTGTCACCTGCTGGCTGCTTGGAGCTCAGTCTGCTCACAGCCTTCCAGATACTGTTTTCTGCTCAGGGTTCTACCCAAAGGAGGGGTCAGGTGAGAGAGGACAGGACGTGCAGAGAAGGAAGGAGGAGGGTGGACGCTGGGGTGATAGTCAAGTGTTTCCATGGGAGGAGAGACAGGTCGTCAAGGACGCGTCTCCAGCAGCCCACAGGCTGGGGATCTCTTCATGGCCTTCTTTCTGTCCCTTACGGCCATTTTGCCTTAGGGAGACTTTGTGAAGAACGTCCCCATGAACCATGGCACATACACGTGGCCGGATGGCAGCACCTATGAAGGAGAAGTGGTCAACGGCATGAGGACCGGATTTGGCATGTTCAAGTGCAGCACGCAGCCCGTGTCCTACATCGGTCACTGGTGCCATGGCAAGAGACACGGGAAGGTGGGTGTCAGATTTAAAGTGTTCATTGTGTGCTGTTTTTGTTTGTTTGTTTTAGCTCATAGATTGGTTTAGACATATTGGAGGGGTTGGGGATGGTGACTTCTAGATGGAGGCACCTGGATGGCTGCAAGAAGGAACAGTTAGCTTGATAATGAGGAAGAAGATAGAAACAGAGAGAGAGAGAGAGAGAGAGAGAGAGAGAGAGAGAGAGAGAGAGAGAGAAACCAATGAATAAACAAGCAATCTGAGGCCATTCAGTATAGATCCAAATACCTTGCACAGTGGCTAGCCCCTTCGAGGAGTCATCAGAAACGTTCTGCCGTGTTCACTTGTACTTGGACACAGTAAAGAAAGATGTCAAAACAGATAAAAATGATTTTGGTACATAAATGAGAGTGACCTTCAGTTATACGGAAGGTGCCACTATTCACTTCAGGTGACAACAAAACAGGATTGCTTTAGGGATTTATTGAACAGTTACGAATCTAACGAATGTACTGAATGTAATGCATATAGTCATTCCACGCCCTCACATGGTACTTTGTTATTAAGGAGCGATTGATTTATGACATGACCTCATACCCTCTTGGTGGATACTCCACCATGTTCTGACTGAAAACAGAAACATCACACGCATGATGTCTTGCCTAAGTGTGACATTGATCTCTGCATAGTTTAGACTCCTTGAGTTCATATGTATCTTTATCTTTAAAAAAGCATTTGTTTTATTTTTTTAAATGACATGATTTGTTTTAGGGCTCCATTTATTACAATCAGGAAGGTACCTCTTGGTACGAGGGAGACTGGGTCCACAACATCAAAGAGGGCTGGGGGATAAGATGGTAGGTACCACTGCTCCTCGTTAGGGGGGTGGGTGAGAAGTGTGTGTGGGCCTACATGGTGTTCACTTAGGCTACTGAAAGCCATGATGCAGAAATCACAGAGAACACATTTTCTATATAAGCAGGGCGGAAATATTTAAATTTAACCCCAGTATAATCTCTATGGTGATGACAACAGTCTACAGAAAATTTAGAAAAGCACCATATTAAATGATATCCAATCATGCTGTTTTACTTTCTTATACGTAGAAACTGCCTTTCTTTGTTTTCCATATTAGTCATGGCTCTCTGCGATTAGGTTTACACTTTTTGAACAATGTTGACACATTTGCTTGATTTTAGACTGAGCTGATAAGAGTCAGATATTTTAAAGACTAAAATGTTTGGGGGCAAAATGTTGACTAATTATCGTACTACAGGGAATAGTTTTAAAAAGATTTTAAATCCCTGTTCTTATCCACCTTGTCACCTTATTAAATGGTCAGGAAGTTTAATAAAGTGATTTATTCTACCCCCTAAGATGATTATTTTTACCGACCACATGCCCACCCATTGGGCACGAGGTTTGGATTTCTTCCAAGGTGTTTAGGGAGAACATTTAAAAGAAAGTGTGGAAGGCAAATGTTGTGTATGCGATAACTGACTGTTTTTATGCCTTTATTTATTTTTGTCCTAGTTACAAATCTGGAAATATATACGAAGGTCAGTGGGCAAACAACGTGCGCCACGGGGAAGGTAGGATGAGATGGCTGACAACCAATGAGGAGTACACTGGCCAGTGGGGGAAGGGCATCCAGGTACCACGCCAGCTGGTGTTAGCAGCATACACCCAGAGGTGGACACTCGCTGGTCCACAGCCGTATGGTATTAATATTGGTAGGGTATATTGTATGGTAATCTGAAATTCAAGATCTGCTAAATTTGGAAACTCAAACTATGATTTGCTGGTCTAAACTAGCCTTTTTGAGTGCTGTTTTACTATTTAGTTTTCTCTAAAGGCCCTCCCCACAAGCTGGGTTCTGCCATTGGTGAATCCATAATGTGTAGACTGAGACTATTATTTACATGTTGTACTTCCTGCACAGAAAAGAAAAGCTTTATATGGTTAATTTTATGTAGTTTGCATAGCTAGGATTTTTTGATGATGTCTTGTGTATATTAATCTGGTAACCAGGGACACTGCTGAACTCACATAATAGTTCTAGTCACTTTTTTGTAGATTATTTGGGAATTTTTATGTAGACAATCATATTATCTGTAAATAGTCAACCTTATATCCTTCTTTCTAATCTGTGTGCCATTTTTGTTCCTCTTGCCTATTGCACTGGCTAAGACCTCCAGTGTGGTATTGAATAGGAGTGGAGACAGTGGACATCCTTGCATCCTTCTTGATCTTGGTGGGAAAGAATTCAGGTTTTGTTTTTGTTTTTTAATTTTAATTTTTTATTTTTTTAGCTGAGCCATCCTGCCACCTGTTGGCAGCTCAGAGGCAGCTCAGCTTGGGCCGGAAATCGAACCGCTGTTGCTCAGAGCTCAAACTCTTGAGTGAGCTAACTAACTGAGCCACTCGGCCGGCCCCGAGAATTCAGTTTTTTATTAAGTGTGATGTTAGCTATAGGTTTTTCATAGATGCCCTTTATGGGGTTGAAGAGGCTCTCTTTAATTTTTAATTTGCTTACAGTTTTTATCATGAATGAATGTTGAATTCTGTCCAATGCTTTTTCTGCTTCTAGTCAGATAGTCATGTGGTTTTTCTAGTCTGTTAATAAACTGAATTACATTGATTGGAATTTTCAAATGTTGAACCAACCTTGCATTCCTGGGATAAACCCAACTTGGTCATGATATTATCCTTTTTTATATCTTGCTGGGTTCAATTTCCTAATACTTAATTATTGAGGATTTTTGTGTTTATGTTCATGAGGAATATTGATCTATAGTATTCTTTCCTTATAATCTTTGCAGCTTTTAGGGTAATGTTGACCTCATAAAATGAGTTGGGAAGTGCTCTCTTTTATTCAATTTTCTGGAAGAGTTTGTAGAATTGGTATTGTCTCTTCCTCATCAGTTTAGTTGAATATGCCAGTGAAGCCTTCTGGGCCTAGAGTTGTCTTTCTGGGACGATTAACTGTAAATTAACTATAGAATGTATTTCTTTAGTAAATAATGTGCTATTCAGGTTATCTATTTCTTCTTGAGTAAACTTTGGAAGTTGCTGAAGGAATTGTCCATTTCATAGAAATTGTTAAATTTATTAGCATAAGGTTGTTCATAATCACTTATTATTTTGACATATGTAGAATCTATAGGGATGTTCCCCCTTTCTTCTGATATTAGTAATTTGTGTTTTTTCTGTTTTTTTCTTTATTCGTCTTGCCAGAGGTATATCAGTTTCATTAAAATTCTCAAAGAGCCAGTCTTAGTTTTATTTTCTCTGATGTTTTTCAGTTTTCACTTTAATTGAGACCTGCTCTTTATTATGACTTTCCTTCTGGACGCTTTGGGCTTAATTTGCCCTTCTTTCCCGAGTGGGATTGAGATTTCAATCTGTATGTTCAAGATAAAATTTAAAATAATTAAAATAATCAGTCTCAAGCTAGGCATTTTATACACACTGTCTTCAGTCTTTACACCCAACCTGCAAAGTAGGTGTTACCTCCATTTTACAGATGAAATCCAGAGGGCTTAAATCATTTGCCTTAGGTCAGAAGGCTGGTTAGTAAGTAGTTGAGCTGAGGCTGAACCCAGTTTCATGTGACCCCAAAGTTCATGTTCTTTGCCTCTTCAAACGAGTCATTGTATTTAATCTATTCCTAATTGTAAATAGATTCAGGTAAAAAGAGGAAATATTTTGAGCATTTCTCATGAAAATTTTCTTTCTTTAAGAATGGCTTTGGAACACACACATGGTTTCTAAAGAGAATCCCCAACTCCCAGTATCCTTTGAGAAATGAATACATAGGGGACTTTGTAAATGGATATCGTCACGGCAATGGAAAGTTTTACTATGCCAGTGGAGCCATATACGAGGGAGAATGGGTCTCCAATAAAAAACATGGCATGGTGAGTACCGACCTGTGAAGATTACATTTTAAAGGTTATGTCAAGCACAGGAAATACAGTAAAAGGCCTGCCATTCTTTATTTAGTAAAGTGCATTATCCATTTTGCATAGGATAACTTACTATTTTTTTAACATGATTACATGAATTTTAATACAATTACCAAAATTTCCTGTATATTTAGAGGTTATTTAGTTTGTGGTGTGTGTGTGTGTGTGTGTGTGTGTGTGTGTGTGTGTGTGTTGGGGAGGTTTTGGTTGCAAGTAACAGAAAATTAGCTTAATCTTCCATAAAAGATAGAGAATAATGTAGGCTTCAGGGTGGGTTTAATTCAGCAACTCAGAGATGTCAGGGTTTCTCCTCCATCTATCCCTGACGCCTCCTACCACGTCAGCTTCACCCTTACGCTGCCCTTCCCTCATGATTGCAATATGGCTGCTGTGGTTCCAGACTTCACATCCACATACCACACTCAGGAAGAGAGAAGGAACTCTTTTTCGAGAAGCTTTCCACAAATGTCAATCTCTGAATCAGACTGACTGTTGGCCTCAGTTGACAGATATCAAGAGCCCCTATTCTGTGATGGGCAGTCTGCAGGTCACTAAGAGTTTAATAAGACACATCCTGTGACCTAGGGGTGCTTGAAGTTAGGAAGTGGTTGTGTGTGTGTCAGATACAGTGAGAGGAGAGGAGGAACAGTGAAGGCGAATCAGGAGGATGAGGGAGAGAGGATTTGCACAGTGACTTGAGACTCTAGGAACCTGATTATATGGGGACTAAGTGCCTATCTTAAAAACAAGCCAACAAAAAACCCCAAACCCTTGAAAATGTTATTGATGTACATTTACCAATGGTTTCCTATGGAAACTTTTCCTAAACTGCAGCGATTACCTTTCAATCTGCAGGGCCGATTAACTTTCAAGAATGGGCGTGTGTACGATGGCCTGTTCTCCTATGATCACATAGCGGAGTTTCCAGACCTGGAAGGTGCACTGGTAAATTACCCAGGCCTGTCCTCAGAATGCGCTGTCAGGAGCCAGTACCAAGGACCTTCCACCAGTGCTGGTAGGGTGTTCACTTGTCAGGTGAAAGGAGTTAATCTGCATTATTCATGGTATCCACTTACCAAAATATACCTAATACTCAGAAAACTGAAGCTTCCCATGAGCAACTGCTTTCTTAGTAGGTTTTTGGGGAGTGCTCTCGTACCACATTTCTGTGGGAAATGATTTTGGCATGACATTGAAAAATTGTAACATTGCTGTTCACAATTATCTCCTATGTTTGCCTTCATTTGCTAGAAGTTATCAGAAAGCTTGATGGCAGTGAAAGCAAGTCAGTGTTAGGATCGAGCATTGAGTTGAATTTACATTTGCTGCTGAGTATGTACCCTGAGAAAGACCAACCAGAGGAAAAGAAGCAGGTAAAAAAAAACCCCCAAAAATCCACCTGTGTATCATGATAAATTTACATTGTAGGCGTAAATATTCATCCGAGTCTCCACAGTCATGGGAAATAGTTGATTATTGCTGTCATGTACTGAGTGTCTTTTATATGCCTGATGAGTGCTTTGTATGGTTCACCCTGTTTAATGTGCAAGCTCTGTGAGGAGATGGAAGCCCAGTGGAGGGACTCAGTGAATGACCCAGAGCCTCAGAGCCCAAAGGCCGAGTCATCCTTCCACCCAGATTGGTCTGAAAGCCCAGGCTGTGGCCCCCTCTGCTGCAGGGCCTTAGTTCTACTGTGCATTATTATGGGCTGCCAGGACTTAAGGAGCTTCAAACCCTTAGAAATCATTAGACTCTAGAAATCCTCAGAGAGAGAAAAAATGATGTGTGCCTGGACCTCATATTATTAGCGGCTGGCAAGTCGGAGGCATTACATACACCCCCGTATCTCGGCCCTGTTTTGCCTGGGGCTGGTATGGTTCTGCTGTGAAAATGCTGTTGACGATGTTGTGACATTTTCACAACCGTTGGTCCCTCAGCACTGCAAGGCATCTTGGCCCCTTTTCCCTTCCTCAGCCCTGCCTTATCTGGTCCCCAGGTCATGGGGCCTCAGCAGCGAGTCCTCCTTACTCCCGCCCCCTCCCTTCTCTGTCTCTGGGTCAATACTGTCACTCACGGCCTCTGCTGCAAGATTCTGGTTTAAAATAGGAAACTTTATTACTTTCTCTAGTGACAAAAGCTGTACGTGATACTTGTAGAAAATGTAGAAAATACAGATAAGAAAAATTAAAAGAGAACCTTTACTGAGACAAAATCTTGTGATCATTTTTCTAGTTTTTTTTTTTCTGCGCAAACCTGCCTAGAAATGGATCATTTTGTTCTATAATCTATTTTCATGTAGAATTTAATGATAGCTATTCAGTGCCATTAAGTACTCTCCACCAATATAATTTTCAGATGAATATATAAACATATACATTGATTTAACAAAAAAAGGGATCACATTGTTTATATTATTTAGATATATAGGTACAGGTATATATATTTTTGTTTTACATGTATATCATTCATTTTCCACTTTAGGGTTCTGTGTCAAAACATGGGTCTTTTAAAAATTATGTATTATCAAATATATCTTGACTGTTTTATAATTACAAAAGCAGCACATGCTCTTACAAAAATTCAAACATAGAAATATATGACATAGAAAGTGAAAGAATTCTGCAATTCCATACTTCAGGAATTTCTTTGTTTAATGGCCAGATAATATTTCATAATGTGGACATGTTACAATTTAGCAAATCATCTTTTTATTTTTTTACTTATTTGAGATGATTTTAAGACTTAGAGAAGAGTTGCAAAAATAGCACCATTTCCATATTCCTTTTACCCACCTTCTCCTAATGTTAGCATGGTATATCACCATCAAATCTAAGAAATTAACCTCGCTACAGCACGAAAACTATAGCCTTTGTTTGCATTTCACCAGTTTTTTCCTGATGCCCTTTTTCTGTCCCAGAATCCCACTCAGGATTCCTCACTGCACTTGGTCCTCACGTCTCTCTAGTTTGTGACAGCTCCTCCATCTTTTGTTGTCTTTCACAACCTTGAGACTTTTGAAGAGTGTTGGTCAGTTATTCTGAAGAATGTCCCTCAACTTGAGTTTATCTGATGTTTTCTCATGATTATATACTTTTATTATCTTTGATTGGAATCATTTTGTCAAAATGTGGGTGTCTTTTCTTGAGCAAGGTTCTGGATCACTCTCGTTCCAGCCTAAACAAGCTGACACCTTCTAGCTATACCCTTTCTTATCCAAATGGCTGCCTTTGATGTCAGTTCCATTTCCTTAGTCTGCCTAACTAGGGCTCCCTGGGATCTGACATCAATTCCTCTTTCCAACCCGATAATATTACCATGTGATAGTAATGGCTAGATGTGCATGGAAAGCCCTTGGCTCTGGGCACGGTTCCAAATGCCTTTATGTCCCTGACTCCTCCCAGCAGCTTACGGGGCAGGAAATGTGTTTTTTGTTTTTCGATTTTTTTAGCTGAGCCATCCTGCCACCTGTTGGCAGCTCAACAGCAGCTCAGCTTGGGCCGTGAATCGAACCAGCGACCCTGTTGCTCAGAGCTTGCACTCTTGAGCAAGCTCTTAATCAACTGAGCCACTCGGCTGGCCCAAAATACACTTTTTTTTTCTTTTTTAAGTTGAGCCATCCTGCCACCTGTTGGCAGCTCAGTGGCTGCTCAGCTCAGGCCGGGAATCAAACCGCTGATGCTCAGAGCTCAAACTCTTGAGTGAGCTCTTAACCAACTGAACAAACTTGGCCGGTCCTGGGGCAGGAAATGTGGTTGTCCCACTTTGCACGTGAGGGAGCTGGGGCAGAGGGAGGTGACAGCCTTGCTCCAGGTCATGCGGCCCTCCTGGTGTTCTTGGACCCCCACCTTGTCCACTTCCCCACCCCGACCTCCAGTTGGGGGGCCTGCGCCCTGTGAAGTCCTACTCATTTTTCCTTTCTCAGTTCACGGACAGCGTCCTCCGGGAAGCTCTTTGCTTAGATCCATCTCTCCGTCCTTCATGACTTTGCTCTACCATACTGACTTGTGTGTGTATGTCTGGTGTTCTTTGCTAGATTTTAATTTCATGAAGAAAGTTTTGTGTCATTTTCTAGAACAACGCTTCAGACAGGGTAGACCATACATGTTTATCCAATTGACTTTAAAAAACAGAAGTTGCTGCTGAGAGTGACAGATGCCTGATGCAGCTGCCCCGGTGGGACTTTTCTGTTTCCACAGCGACCCCAAATACTGTTCCTCATATTTTCTATTTCATTTGGGAGGGCGAGGTATCGGGTAAGGGTAAGTGGTTTTGGAGAACAGGACACTTACAGGCTGCAGGAATTTGGGGCAGCATCAGGCCACTGAAGGCCTGGGGGCAATAACAGAAGGTGAATGGAGACAGAGGGAGATGAGTAAAGCAATCAAGGTGAATATTGCTGATTTCAGACTTCCAGTATTAAGTGTGATGTGAGTGGTATGTTTTGTATATGCTATTCAGGTTAAGGAGTTTCTTTCTAGTCCTAATTTGCTGAGGGTGTTTATCATGAATGGTGTTCAGTTTTGTCAAATGCATCAATTGCTATGATTATGTGGTCTTTTTTATTAGTTATCAATATGATGAATTCCACTGATTGATTTTCCAAATGTTGAATCAGCCTTGTAATCTCAGGGTAAACCCTGCTTGGTCTTGACATATTTATATGTATATATATTGGTAGATTCAATTTGCTAATGTTTTGTTGAGGATTTTTATATTTGTGTTCATAAGAGATCTTGATCTGTAGACAAGAGAATTTTATTGCTGCCATTCAGATAGCAAAAGTATCACATAGTAAGAAAGTAATTTCATTGTCGAGATAACAGCATGTTTTTTACTATTAACTCAGAAATTGCATTTTATTGACCTGGGGTTGGGTGGGGAGAATAACATTACTTCGCATGTTATCTCATTTAATTTACAGAACAGGTGTTTCTTTTGCTTTCGTTCTAATTGGGTAAGATTAAGATGTGTGTGTTTTTCTCTTTTCAGGCCGAATATGCTGTCTTACGAAATCTTACCGAGCTAAGAAGAATCTACAGCTTTTACAGCAGCCTAGGGTGCGATCAGTCCCTGGATAACACCTTCCTGATGACGAAGCTTCACTTCTGGAGGTTCCTGAAAGACTGCAAATTTCATCACCATAAAATCACCCTTGCTGATATGGACAGAGTATTAAGTGGTGAGTATTCCTGGCCCTCTACACCTTTTGGTTTACAGAGTTGTGTAACATCATGTCACCATGAAACCAGTTAGGAAATGTCGAGGGAGTGAAGAAGGCAGGGGCTGGGAGAGGTGTTCCAGAAGACCACATGTGGGCTTCTTTTCAAGGTGCTTAAACGTCCTCGAAGAGGCCACCTTGTGAAGTACTAGCAGCACTGAAAGACCTTCTGCAGCAGGGGCCAGCAAAGGGCCCCCTGCCTGTGCTCATGGTGAACTCTGATTGGAACATAGCTGTGCCCATTTGCTTACTGTTGTCTGTCGCTGCTACGGCCCTAGAGCTGCGTGGCTGTGACAGACATTTCCTGGCCCTCAAAGCCTGCAGTAGTTCCTACCTGGCCCTTTGCAGAGAAGTTTGCCTGCCCCCGATCTATAGTAAAAACACGTTACATTGTCAGGTCAGAAGTAGAGATGATGGGGTAGGCGGGGCTTGGAATAGACTAGAAAAGGCTTTAGGCAATCTTGGGCTTTGTCTTGATTTCAAATTAGAAAACTTATGCAATAAATTTAATGACTTTGAAGGTTTTACTCCTTTCAGCTGAATTCTGGGCGGCAGGACTGGAAAGCCTCACATTATCTACTTGAGAAATAAAATATTAGAACTAATACCTATTTACTTCAAACCAGTGTTTGAAACAGACTTAGAATCCACTTAGAATCAGCAGCATTAATCAAACTGTGGCTCTGACCACTCTGCAAAACACTGGGACATGGGATCTTGAAAGTGTCTTGTAAAGTGACTTAAAATGGTACTTAATTTTCAGGTGGATACATATGTATTGTTCAAAGTGTTCGCTAGGGGAAAAAAAAGTACTCCATTGTATTCAGTTCTTCGAATTTGTGTACCAGGAGCAAATAAAATAGAAGTTTCTTGAAAACACTAGGCATCCTCTGCAATTTTCTTGTTTTAGCCCATCAGGACATACCAGTGGAAGAAATTCATTCTCCATTTACAACAATACTTCTGAGAACATTTCTAAATTACCTCCTGCAGCTGGCTTACCACATTCATCACAAAGTATACCAGTAAGTACTTCTGGCCCTGTGAGACGGACGAGGGCAGAGCAAGCCATGACTCGAGTTATACGTCGTCCTCTTGGGCATTCATCAGTATTTTTTCATACTCTTGAACTGAAGGCCTAGAAACAAAAGTTTTGAGATACCAGCTTAAAAATTTGCAAACCTTTCAGATCTGAGTCACGTTTCAGTGCTGTCAATAGCTCTCAGGGTTTTATTCAGAAATAGCCACAACCAACTCTTCCTTAGGCCAGAATGTCCTGTGTTTCTCAGAGCAAAACTGATACTGTGTCTTCAAAAACAAAAAAAGTCCACCAAAACGTTATTTTGAAATTATTTTAGATTTACAAAAGTATTGCCAAGTTAGTAGAGAGGGGTTCCCACATATACCCTTCGCCCGGCTCCCCCTCATGATAACATCTTACAGAGCCACGGTAACACTTATCAAAATGGAGGCGCTAACGTGGCTGCCATACCATTAACTAAATTACAGACTTTCCTAAGACTTCCCCAGTTTTCCCACAGACGTCTTTTTTCTAGTCCAGGATCTAATCCACGTGCCCACGTTGCGTGTAGTTGTCTAATCCCCTTACTCCCCTACAACCCGTGACAGTTTCTCAGACTTTGTCTTTTAGGACTTTGACACTTTGGAGGCATATTGGTCAGTCATTCTGTAAAATGTCCCTTGATTTTGGTCTGCTGATGTTTTCTCATCATCACACTGAGGTTATGGGTTTTGGGGAAAATATCCAGGAGATGAGCTGCCCTTCTCGGTCACATCCTATCAGGGTATGTGACATTGACCTGTCTTATTACTGGTGATGTTGACCTTGATCATCTGGTTAAAGTGGTGTCAACCAGGATTCTCTCCTGTAAACTTACGATTTCTCCCTTTCCATACTCTGCTTGTTAGAAGCCCACCCCACACTCTAGGAGGGAAATTACGCCCCACTTCCTGGAGGGAGGAGTAATTATCATATCTTTATAATCACAGAAATACAAGCCCATCGCTCTTTTTGTGTTTTACAAAACTGATGACCGAGAACATTCATCCAAATGCCTGCCGTGTAAAAGGTAAACACAAAACCCATAGGATTATTCCGACCACTGTTTTTTTTCAAAACATGACTCTGTAATCATTTTTTGAATGTTTATTTGTCCATTTTATTTTTAGGCAGTTTATTCAGTGGGCAACAGGAGACACTCTATTCCATGAATTACATCGACAAGAGCTGGGAGATTTATACGGCTCATTGTAGACCGAACGCAGCCCCTCCCCATGAGCTTACAATGAAGATGAGACACTTCCTCTGGATGCTGAAAGTAAGCACTCACGATTTCTTATTGGTTTTATGTTTATAGGCATTTTGATTTTTTTTTTTTTTAAAGATTTTTATTGGGGAATTAGGGGATGGGAACAGCGCTGGGGGATTGGGGGAAGGGGAACAGACAAGTTGTTGTCCTTTTGTTCTTCAGTCTAGTTGTGGAGGACGTTGCTT